AGTCTTTTTCAAGAATTCCTGTTGCAACATGTCCCAAGTAGATATAAAATTGTTTGGTAGGGCATGCAACCAGGTTCTTGCCTTGTCTTTGAGAGAGAACTGAAAAAGTCACATCCTAAATACGTCATCTGAAATAGTGGACAACTTGGTAGTCAAACACAATTCCAAAAACACATTTAAGTGCTTATAAGAATTCTCTATTGCAAACCCATGGAATATAGGAAGCATTTAGATCATAACAGGCTTGATCTCAAAGTGGGTCACATCAAACTGTGGAAATTGAAAGCACGAAGGGGATGTATATGACGTGGGAATATAATGGTCCCTCATTTATGGGGGAGCAGATGCAGGTGGCACACATGCTCCCGGTGCATTAGTTTCATCAGCCATGTCTGTCCTAGAGGATTCTCCTAACAAGTCAGAATTCTTTTTAGGTCTTCTAATCCGCCTAAGAGTTTTTTCTAGTTCAGGATCGTATTCAAATGTTTATTTTGATAAAGAATAGCTACCTAACATGCACTTTGTCCAATTGCACAAGCAGTAACAAAAAGAAAAATTCCAAGTAAATAAACCAACAAGAACTCACGGGAGGTCCTGAAACCGAAACTTCTATTCCTTAAGCGTTTTCGTCTTCGCTGTTAGATTCCTGCACTTAAAAAGAAAAAAAAAAAAGATGAGATATTAGAAAGTCCGAAGATTATAAATCAAAACAGAACTAATTGTAAACTTAATAAACCGTTACACAGTCCCTAGCAACTGCGCTAAAAATTGTTGCTTATTTAAAAATGCCCAATTAAAATTACCACTCGTAATAGAACGAGTCATTTGCATGATTGGACTACTTAGAGGGTGTCGAACCACAAAGACTATGGTGGATTATTGAGCGTTCAATTAATATGATTTTGATTCAGAGGTAAAAGATTTTTTGATTTGGTGTGTGTCACAAACATAAAAATTAAATTAAAATAAATCAAGTAAAGGGATTAAATTAGAGAGAGAATATCTTAGGGATTGACTTCACCACGAACCTCGTACTATAGTCAACTATTCAACCTTCGGATTTCAACAATTTATGTATCATATGGAATTAAGCTTAATAACATTGATTGAATTCAGATTTAAAGAACGATGTTTCGTGAATTTCAACTAACAATAACCTATCTTCGATTAACATGAATTATCTATCTACCTACTTCTAACCAATGTTGTAGTATAACTCATCTTCCCTAGGCATATAATATGAAAACATTCATTCATAAAAAATATTTGAACACCATTGCATGATCTCTATCCTTATTGTCCGATAAACCCTTAGCCGTTAGTCTCGTACATTAAGAATATGTTGAATATAGTTTAAGAATAATTAAATCTAAGACAAGGTATTAATCATTCAAAAACCATTACTTCATTAAAACACCAATTGATCTAAGTCAATTGCTCATAATCACGCAATCAAAATACATAAACAGTCAAATTCCCAAAGTTTAAACAATCAAATCATAATACTCGGATTCGGATTACATTAATGCCCTGAGAGGAGAATTAGTTACTCCTGACGACGCAAGATATCATCTGTGTACGTTGTTGTGGTCTTCGTCATCATGGACTACACTTCTCTTCTGAGGATCTTCACCTTCAATGCTTTAAAACAACTATCAGAAACCCTAAAAACCACCACTAGATCTAGAATAATGAAACAAGAGAAAGTCTGAATCGATAAAGGTTTTCTGTGGCCTTGTGCCTCCTTAATAGAAGCAACTGACTTCTAATAAGGATTGGATGGGCTTTAGGTCTTATGGGGTCATCTGAGCCCGTCTAGGATGAATTATAACTTAATTAGAATAAATCCCGCAACATATAATTCCGACTTAACAGCAAAGGCTCGAGCAAAGAAGTTTCTGTTCGTTTTTTTTCAATTATTTTCCGAAACATCTTTTTCAGTAACACTTAGAATATTTTTGGGATATTTCTTCATAGTGCTCGAGCTTTAGGAGTTCTGCTTCAGATTTTTGGATTCCGCTCGAGCTTTTTGGTTTCTACTAGAGGTCTGGTAACATGGAACTTCCGAAACATCTTTTCATATTTCGAGACAGTTTATGCTCGAGCCCTTTTGCAAAGGCTCGAGCACCTTAAGTCTTTGTTCAAGCAGAAAGATCTCTGCTTAAGCTTTTTGGCCTTGGTTGTTTTTTTTTTTTTGCTTCAGTTGACTTTGTGCTCGAGCTTTGGCACTTGAACTTCTTTAAAATCACCATTTTAACTCGAAGCTTGCTTCAGATGATCGGGATATCAGTCTTTTCATCATAAAATCCCAGTTTTATGCATTTATTTGGGAAAGTACCTACAAAAGTAAAGTAAACTCAAATTAGTCTAAAACTGGATAAAAATACTACTTAAGGTCTTAACATACGCACGTTTAAGGGCTCGAATATGCAATATTTAACGTTCATCATTGCAGAGGCTAGAAAACGAAGAAGACGACTCGCAGCAGCAATTGAGCCGACTTAGTTGCTAAGTGAGTCGACTCAGTTGGAATTGAGCTGACTCGATTGGTAAAGGAGCCTGCTCAGTTGGAACTGAGTCTACTCAGTTGAACTGAAAGTTGGATTTTGACGTCTTAATTCCCATAAATTTTTTGAATCATTTTAATTCATTTGAATGGGTTAATTGGACTTGGGAAATTTACAGAATGCATAAAATACATTATTATGCTAAGGATTTGAACTGTATGGATCATTAAATGAATTATTAGTGGTTTAATGGTTGAATTTAAATGTGTTAATTGTTGTAACAATTGTAAAAGGATAATTTGCTAAGAATTAGATTATTACTTGTGTTGTAAATGGTAATAACCATCATGTAAATACAATCGAGAGATTAATATGGAGTAGGAAAGGTTATGCAATTTAATTGAGATGTAACTTAATTACTTGTTTAGTAAGTTAATTACATGCTACTTAGAATTGCTGTTTATATTACTTCATTAAATGCAATGCACATCTGTATAATCATTATCATGTGTAATTCTGGATTATTTGATGTATATATTTGCTTGCATCATTTATTAGATGGTGCGGGAACCATTGTCGGGATATGGTTTAGGATTAATGCACCATTGTCGGGATATGGGGGCATATTATGGATGGGCTGGCTAATAAGTTTAATCTCATCTCTTCGTGTCAGGTCACGGAACCAGTTGGATGACATGCCATTGAAAGATTATGGCAGATAGTTTACTTTATTGCATTCGGATAAGATACGGATTTATATATATATGTATGTACCATGATATGAGCTCGAAGTTTCAGGATCGATGGTTAGTAAGGCTATATTGCCCTATATGCATAGCTGGATATGGAGGATGTGGTGTACCTTGGTAGATGATGGTGTTCATGACTGCCTATGTGTTTTGCATGATGGTTGGTATCAGGATGAACATGCCCTATAATCCGGTAAGAGTCTTTAGTGTGTATCTATATATATATACAGACTATGTAGCTATTGCATGAGTTGACCAGGATGTATTCGTTTCTTAGGTCTTTGTTAGATGTAGTAGAAAGAACTTGCTCAGGACTAGTTCAATACCACATGTAGATTTTGATCGTACAGAGCAGAGACCTGTCATCATCATTCTTCCGGATATCTACATGGGATTTTACTTTATATTTTAGTATGTAGAGGTTGACAGTTGTTACTGTTATTTCTATCAGTTTGGGATTTTATAGGGGTCCATATAGATGGATTTCCGAGTTGTATTTTTTGAGGATTAGTTGTATCAGAGGAATTTACTATTTAATGAAAATTTATTCTGAGGTTTTAAATATTGGATTATTATTTTAGTTTTCATTTCAGCATTTTGTTTATTTTTATTTATCCTTTTGTATTATGTGTTTGTTTATTGTCAGTTTGTTTTTGATATCTCCGAGTATTCGGGCGTGGGCCTGGCCAACCCGCATTCGAAAATCCGGAGGTATCACGTCTCCCTCATCTTCTTCCATACCTTTAAATACCCAATCTGTAAATCAAACCCAATTATCTATATATATATATCTCCCTCTCTTTCATACACAGTATCTCTCAAACCCCCAATCCCATACACATGAGAAGATGATGCCTAGACCCCAAACCCAACCTCTCCCAAACCCAACTTGTCAATCTTCACCAAACTCGATGACCGGTGGCGCAAAGGTTGAGCTTTGCGCCGCACCGCCGCCGCTGCCGTTTTGAGCTATACGTTGAAGACGTCTCGATCGCCACCGTCGTTGAAGAGAAGAAGTCGTTGCCCTTGATAAGTCTCGAAGGTTGTTTCAACGGATGTGGACTGACAAGGATGAGATCGAGCCATTACAGGAATCGCGAATCGTGAACCAGAAATTGTCGCCAGAATCGCGACTGATTCCTCATTGCCGGCTCGAGGAACGCAATCACCAGACTGAAAGGAGATCGATCTCCACTGTTCATCCATTTCATTCTGTTTGATGGGTTTTATGTAGCTTTGCAGTGGTGGGTGGAGAGACAGAAATAAGGGGTGGGCAGTATTGGTAGCGGCGGTGGCGGTGGCAGTGGCGGTGATACAGTCGAGTTCAATGGCTGACTGGTCCGAGTTGGACTCGGTGGTAGCAAAGGTCTGAGTTGGATTCAGCAATGGCTGCCTTTGCCCCATGTTTTGTATGTATGTATATATGTATATATAGATATATGTGTGTAATTTTTAATTGTTGGGTTTGTATGATGGTGGTAGAACAATAAAGAAAGATGGTGGTTGTGGAGGTTGCGGTGGTGGTGAGTGGTGGTCGTTAAGGTTGCTATATTGGCTGAGGTTACTTTGGTTATTTTACTTAGTCACAGGGAAACATGTACTTTCATATTATTTGGAATGTCACTGTTTAAGTTTGCAGATATTGAGTGCCATTGTCCAAAAATTGCCTAAGTAGACCTGGGGTTGTCATTGCAAATTAGCCAAAGGTTTATTAGTAGAGTTGATCTTCATCTATAAAGAACACAAATACAATTTTCTGGCCCAACTTGTAATACTGTATTTATCTCTCCAACTTTACCTTCCAGGCCCTTCCCTCTGAAACCCTAAATTTCAAAACTCTAGATTGCGCCTTTTCTTTGCTCCTGAAGTTCTGTACACATACCAGAAGGCTTTATATTTTGATTCTTGATTTCTGATCTTTGTACACACACATATTTTGTAGTTCTGTAGCTAGGAAAATGGTGGTTCGGTCACTTCCTTGCATCATTTCTTGCGACGATCCTATCGCCACCAATAGCCACGATAGAGGAGCAGGAATCGCCGCGGTCGACAATCACCATTTAATGGTTTCTGATGATGTCTCAAAGAGGAGGAGCAGCGCTAGAATTCAGAAGCTGAAGAGCAAAAAGGCTCTTCTCCTTCGCTGCCGAGAAGAGTCTTTGAATCACCTAGAAGAAGAGAAAGTTCATCGGAAGAAATGCAGAACGTACCAAAAAAGAAATTTGGATATGTCAAATGCGGCTTCTCAATCTCAGGTGGTTGAAAGCAATGGTTCTGATGTCAAAGAAGAGAAAGTTCATCGGAAGAAATACAGAACGTACCAAAAAAGAAAGTTGGATATGTCAAATGCGGCTTCTCAATCTCAGGTGGTTGAAAGCAATGGTTCTGATGTCAATACTCAGGTTCTGGGATCCAATGGGACGACTATAGACGGTGCCAATGTTGACGGTGGTGCTATGATGGATATGGTTATGACAGAGGTTGCAGAGGGTGGGACTGTGGTTGAGAAAAGTGCATCTGCTAGGGCTACGGATACTTTAAGGGCTTTTAACAAGCACTACCTTCACTTTATTCAGGTTTATTTTCCTTATTCACCCCCAAATACTGTTCTCTCTCTCTCCGTAGGTGTGTACGCATTATGTATACTTCACCCATAAATGCACACTCTGTTTGATTTGGTTTATCTGTCTGACTGATTACATGTAAGGGATGTATAATTTTAGCAATTTCAACCTATTGGTTCGTTACTCCATATCAACGCCATAAGTATGGTATATTGAGTTGCTCAACTTCTTCTGGTTAATCTTGCGTTCCATTTTAACATTATATACTCTATTTATTGTTCTAGTTTTATAATTTTGTGTATATTGTACTTATCTATGCACTAGTTGATTTTATTGTCTGTAGTGTGCTAACAATTGAATTATTGCTCTCATGATTGCTAAATATATATTGCTTGGATTGTATAACACTGGCCTTACTTATAAAAAAAAAAAAAATTGTATAACACTGGCCTGATTGAGTTTTGCAATCACGCATTCTGGTCTGCAGTAGCCACTAGAATTATGAGCAGCACATGGGTAACTTGGTTGGAAGTGTTCATTGAATTGTGACTTTAAGAAAGCCTATGATTCTCTGCGGCGAATCCAAATTTGTGGAGTACATGACACTTACTTTGAGCATGTTGGGGAGGCAATAGATTACTCTTGTCTAGAGATTTTATGGCGTTTGATGGGTTTGTTTATGTGTTGTAAAGGCTTCTTTAGGTCATGATTAAAATTTCATTTCGTTTTGTATGGCTAAAAAATGGAAACATTTCAGAAACATTTTTAGTAAACACTACAAATGGTGAAAAAGAAGTTTAAGCATACGATTCTTAGCCTTAGGAACATACAGTATTATCTATGTAATATTGAGTTATTATTATTTTTTAGTAACAAAAGAAAGCATGCCGTGACATAATAGGCATGAACCATATATTTTGTACATGAAGTAGGTCCAACACACTCTATGCATGCACCAACCCAATCAAATCTATTAGCAAGCTATGCTGCACAATAAACAAACAAATAATATGGATATCTTTTTATAATTTCCCTTGCCATCTTCTTCTACTTATTCCGAACTGCTATTTTTCAGAGAAATTGGAAATCATTTTTATGTTTCAATTCTTCAATGTTCCATTTCTTGTGGAAAAAAGGGTACTGCCTTTCTTTCGTCATTTGGGTTTCTTGTCGACATGGGGTGTTTTGACCTTTCACTATGCTTCAATTTTCCATGCAAATTTTATTCATAATGGAACATAAATATTTTGATCAGTTTAAAGGAAGTAAATAGAATTTCTAATTGTTCATTTTGGTATGTTTTTAGGTTATGATAAGGTTAAATAAGATGACGGCTTTGTACAATTTTCATGTGAGATTGATGCTGTGTTACTGAAGAGGATGTTGAATTGGGTTGCTTCTAGGACTATAACTTACTTTTTATGAATTGGCGTGCTTGAGGAGCCAAAGTATCGCCAAATTACGCGGCTTACTGAAACAATGCCAATCAGGCATGGACCTGATGTGTGGTCAGTGGGGGCAATTGCCCCCGCTTATTTTTTATTTTTAGTATTATATACTAGTAATTTTTCCTTTTTTGAATTATATACTATGAAATTTTAATGTTGCCCACCACCGCGCGCGCGCGTATATAGGCACAATTTCCTGAGTCTGTCCCTGATGCCAATGAATATTTCTCATTACTTTTTAAAATCTTTCTTTACTGTAATTTTTTGTGAATAATGACTTTTTTGAATCCTGATCAAATCAACGTTTGCACTTCTTTTTTTCTGATTAATGTCTTGCAGAACTGTTAGTTGTCATGCTAGTTGATTTTTTTTTTTTAAACTTTATCATATTTAATATACCTCCCTTAAGATAGATTCCTAGTTCTGTTACTTTTTTGTTGAGGCTATCATGCATCGCTTAATCGGTTCAGGCTAATAAATCAATGGAAAACAGAGGGCAGCTGTCCAGGCATAGATAATGAGGCAATCATGCGTTGCTTTCAAAATATGAAGATCTGTTGAGGACAGTTGTTATTTTATTCAATTGAAATATTACCAATTGATATTTGGTTCTTATATTTGTCAATTAACTAATCTTTCTTATATTTGGTTCGTACATTATACCACTTGAAATGAAATCCTGGCTCGTCACTGAATGGCATGATGAATATTTTTTGTATTTTGGATAGCTTACGTGGTTTAAGATTATTAATCACTTTATTATTTTTTTCCCTAGTTGATACTCACCCCTCCGCCAAGGAATTGTTTGCACCCAAGAGGAGTAGAACCTTAGACCTGATGCTTCCTGAGGCACCACAGCCAAGTGACTTACCCACTTGAACCAACCCCTTGGGGTTTATTAATCACTTTATTGATAGAGTGATTTTACTATTTACAATTTATACTCTCTAGTTTAGCTTCGGTTGCTGAAATAAATCCTCGAATCTATTATTCAGTGCAAGACCAATCTCATTATTGTCATCATTCTTTCAATGTTTGTGTTTTCCAGTTAGCTCATGGAAAAAACAATAGTGCTTTTGGACTAACTTATGGCGAAAATTGTTATTATTGTTGTGTCAGTGTTACTATCATTATCAACTGATAATCACGATTTACTCTAAAATTTTAAGCTATTGAAGAGTGTTTAAATTTGACATGAAATACTCTAACACGCCCTTCACATGTGGCCTTGTTTTTGGTCTAACACGTGTTTCAAAATGTAATTATCAAGGTGAAGTTGAGGTTTGAATTCAAGACCTTATCTGCTCTGATACCATGTTAACTAGCATATATTCCAAAAGCTTAAGCTGTTAGAGAGGGTGTGACCTTTTTTTGATAAGTTAGAGAAGCTGTAATGTTAATATTTAAATCTTCTACACATCAACCTAATTGGAAGTGCATAACAAATTCATCGTTGAGTGAGTGTGGTCATAGTGATAAATTTGAACCTCCCAAATGGATCTATGGAAATTTAAAATTTATTTTAGGAGTTGTATTAGGGGGTGACATGTTTCTAGAATTTTAAAAGTAACTTGAGTCAAGGTATCTATGTATATATGAATTTTCTAAATCATTTAAACTTTTTGTTTTAAAATTTTATTCCCTGTTAACACGCCACAAGCGAAGCATCCCCCCCCTCTCTCTCTTCCTTCTCTCTGTCTCTCATTCACACATCCTTTGTATGAGTCACAAATTCTCTCTTTATTTGCCTCTGATGCTTGCGTGGGTATTTTTCTCATTCATGTTGCTACTTTATATATGTCCATAGGAAGAAGAAAAGAGATGTGGAAGAGTGGAAGCTGATAGGAAAACTGCAAAAGGTTCAAAATCCAAGGTTGGCATCTAATTTCTGGTTTCCTTTTTCGTCAGTGGAAGTTATTTTTGACCTTTAAAAACCTGAACTAATTAATTAGTTCTTTTCATCTTTTTATGTACCTTTTTTTTTTGGTTTCATTTCTCTGGGACAAATGCATGGTCTTTTTTAATTCTCCTATTTTATTTCACTAGCGATGATTCACTTTGAATTGTCAAGTCGTGTATATGGTTTAGGTAAGGTATTAAGCCACCTTCTTCATAATCTAATTCTCTTTATTTGCCAAAGCCTTGGCCTTCAACATTTTTGAATGGCTACGGTAATTTAATCTTGTGATTTGGTGCCAATGCAAGCCAAATTTCTATTAAATTGTGCTTATATTTATCTTTCTCAATACCTAATCCAGGGCTTTTTTAACCACGCCACTCCTCATTGGCGCAATTGCTAGTTTTTTGCTATTTTATTTTGCCTTTTGAATTTGCACCTGAAAAGGCTGATATAATCAATATCTGTTTCAGTCCCGCTTTTCTTAGTTTATTAAGGTATACAAAATTGTGCAGAAAAGGGTTGCACCTGAAGATGATGCTAAGCGGGGTTCCAAGCGACCTGATCTGAAGGCGATAACCAAGGCAAGTCACTATATTTTGCATATATAATTCACATATATTTCGTATTTCTTGATTTTAATCTTGTGATGTATCCCCTCTGATGTGGATGTGTTGGATTTCTATTCCAACTCTGTTTCTATATTGACCCCCACTGACTCCAACTCATTACCAGCACCAAATAAAGAAAAATTTCACAGATTACTTTCAGAAGTCCAAACATACAAGGTTTAAACTGCGCCCAAAGGCTCATTCAAGATTCTTGAGTCCATACCATGTCATGCGATTCAGAGGTTGTGACAGATACAAATATAGTTATGCCTCTTTGGCTGTCTAATTTTATATGTTGCTTTCTATTAGTAAGTTTTTGTTTTGCTCTATTGGTGGGTGAATCAAATCCCTCTCCTATATAAATTTATTGCTGTACCCATTGCTGAATTTATTTGCAAGGGGGTGAGTTCTAGCAACTTGGTTTAGAAGTCTAAGTTGAGGTTTCCTGTATTTTAATCATCTGTTGTATTTCATCTGTTGAATATACTTTCCAAATTACTTAATTTTTTTTTTGGAAATAAGTCATCCCTTTTCTGTTCTTATGCTTTAATCAACTCATTTAGTTGTTTGCCTCAAGTTTCATCCCTTGACAGTTTCTATGTAGGCTTATTTGGATTTGTGTTATCATACTATTGTATTCTTTTCTTGGTGTTGTAACTTGCAACTTTATTCTGTATGACTATTTCTTCAACTTTTTTTCTTCTTTTATTAAATGTGAATTATGTTGGCTTTGGCATATTTCTAGAGAGTATGTTGATTTCTAGGCTTCCTGTTGCATTATTCCATTATAGATCTTTTATTTTATTTTATTTTTATTTTTGCAGATGAGGGAGACCAATGCTATACTGTACCCAAATAAAAGATTTGGCTCCATTCCTGGTTGGTGTCATTTACTTGTTTTGTTATTGGTTATTTGCATTATTATTGAGCTTAGTTGGCTGGATTTCCATTACTCCGCCTAAGCTTGTTATATAAATTGTGTAATAAAGACATTCTGTACAATGAAGAGATTTTTTAATGTGTTGAACTTACATTTGATGGCAGGCATTGAGGTTGGGCATCAATTCTTTTCACGGGCCGAGATGGTTGCTGTAGGTTTGCATGGCCACTGGCTTAAAGGAATTGATTATATTGGGCAATTTTCTGGCAAAAAGGTAAATATTAAGAAGGTAATAAATTAGTAATGACTCTTGATTTATATATATTCTTTTTAAAGTTATCCTCCTATGAAGGTTGCAATAAGAACTTTGCTTGAGTTGGCTCTACATAGTTTTTAATGCACTTAATTTGATATTAGCTTTTGTTGTTAATACTGGTGCTTGGAGTTGAAAATTTGTGTGTTATATTACTGGTGGAAGGTTGGAACGAGGCTTTGAAAGCATTTTATCAAATGTTAAACATGTGTGTTGATATTGGATGCTTAATGCGACTTTCCTTCTCCCTCTCTCTGCAAATTTGGATTGAAATAATAAATTCAGTGGCATTTCACAGTTTCATTAAATCAAACAAAAATTTTTGATTTAGTGGCCTCCAAGTGGCGTTTTACCCTTGCATGCATGTTCGTTAAGTCTTGTGCCATAAAGAAATTGTTGGTTTTGCTGGTGATGATTGTAGGGACCAACTGTTGCATGCAGATCTAAATATCTGGTCAATAAGCAGCAGGCCTTGTTGATTCAGTTCGGTTATGTTTTACAATGTTTGATTTCTTGTAAACATACACACACTCAAGTATATATGTAAGGATTAGAACTTGGTGTTGGCAAATTTCACAGCAAATTGGAGTTTGTATTTTTACTTTTAGCTTTTGATTAATTTTCAAAAGTTAGTTTATTTAGTTAGTGTCCAAGGGTAAAATCAGAATTTGAAGATACATCAAAGGGCAAAAAGGTAAATTCATTAATAGCGAACCCACCAATTATGACTCATAATCATGCATTCTTATTTTAGGGCACAATGGATATATGTTTTTTATTCATGAAAAAGATGTTCTGAATGCTTGAAGTTGGTTTTGAAATGAATGTATTTAAACAATATTTTTGCACAGAAACATAATGGCTTGATCAATTTGTTGATAGATTGAAAGTTCCCGACAAAATTATATTAAGCCCATAATAGTTCGACTAAATTCTTGATCAGTGGAATCCTGGACCGTAATTGTCGATTGATAGCTAGATTGATCGACTGGCGTGTGAAAAAATTCTCTAGATCAGAATCCTAGAAGATTTAGGTTTTCTAATCTGATCCCACTCTATTCTTCCTTCTGGTCTGCACTGTTGTAAAGTTTGTCTGGATCAGTTGAATATACAGATGAATGGTTATGTTTAATTTTCTTTTAGATAACACAAGATATCATAGGATTTTGATGGTGTATATATATTTTATATTTTATGTGTATGTCTTAGACTGCTGGAAGATATTATGTTTGGAGAAATTCGTTACAGGAGTGATTTAAATCATTGACAGAATATTGATATGAGCGAATCATAGGTGTGATATTAGGAATCTTTCGTGTATCATATTTATCACATGTTTGTATTCTTTCACCTATAAATAGAGGTGATCATTGTATACGAATATTAAGAGAATGTTATAGAAGTGATGTAGCCCTTTGGGCTCTTTGTGCCTTGTATGTAGGCCCTAGTGGCTGAAGTACGCAATATCTTTGTGTTCTTTTTATTTCATTTCTCTCTTCACGCAATATCAGAGCCTAATTTCTCTCCTCTCTCTTGTTGTGACTACCTAGGTACAAAAATACCCTAGGGCAGTCACCTTGTGTGTGCAGTGTAGGGAGGATCTCTTCTCAGGTTCAGATCCCTATTTTTGGGTATTCCCCTAGCGCCTAAAATGTGCTAAGGGTCTGTCAGTGCTATTTGTGACTTGTTTGGTAGCATTGTTCTTCGCCTTTATGGCTTCACAGTGTCTCCGGCGATTGTATTGTCTTTTTCCAAATCGTTGGAAAAAGATCCGTGTCATGATTTGATTATTTCCACACACACTCCAGCTTGAGGGGGAGTGTTGGAAGATGTTATGTTTGGAGAATATTATTATAGGAGTGTTTAAGCCCTTAAATCACTCGTTGACAGAATATTGATATGAGTGAATCATGGGAGTGATTTTAGGAATCTTTCCTATATCATATTTATCACATGTTTGTATTCTTTCACCTATAAATGGAAGTGATCATTGTATGCAAAGATTAAGAGAGAATATAATAAAAGTGATATAGCCCTTTAGGCTCTTTGTGCCATGGATGTAGGCCTTGGTGGCTGAACCACGTAATATATTTATGTTCTTCTTGTTTCATTTGTCTCTTCATTAACGTTTTATCATTTACAACATAGACAATAACTTTGATGTGATTATTAGTTAATCATGAATTTCTGTTCTTTGGACTAGCAACTTTAGATATCTTGAGCTAATTTTCTTTTTTGCGTTACAGCTTGCTAACCATTTGATGCTCTTAGTGCCTTGAGGTGCTCTATGTTGGGATGTGCTGGCAATTCTTGCCCTAATTTTAATAGAACATTCTTTTGATTGTTTATTAGCTTATCTAAGAAGCACAAACACTTCTATGAGGTGCTGAGTTTGGACGCCATGTCGGACACCGACACTCCATGGACGCTCCTAGACACGTGTCCGACACTTCATGGCCGTGTCCATTATTTAAATGTCAATTTTATTATTTCGGACACATCTTGGACACTTAGTCGACACATCTCGGACACTTGGCGGACCTTAGTCGACACATCTCGGACACTTGGTCAACATATTCCGGACACTCAACTAAAATATCTTACACTCTTCGCCTTATATAAAACAAACACGACACTTCTGGAAACAACATTATGATCATTCATCAGAGTGCTCAACCTCTAAAGAACAAAAACATAATTATAATGGCAAGATAGAATAGTCATATAACACATTCTATTTTATATTCGAATAGTGTCATTTTGTAACTTATGGAACTTTAGTATAGAATTTATATATTAATTAGAGGTCTTTGATTTTAATAGATATATAAATGAAAATTTAGATATATATTACCCGTGTCCATGTCCTACTTTTTGAGTATTTTCCGTGTTGGCGTATCCGTGTCGTATCGTGTCCGTATCCGTGCTTCTTAGCATCTTATAATCTAATAGTTGTTAAATGATTTATGTGGTATTGTTAATGTGGTATTGTTACTGAATTGTAAGTCAAAAACTGAGTTGTGCATGGTAGTTAAACTTGGTGTCAATTTTAAATATTATATTAAGAAAAAAAAAAAAGCAAATTTAGTTTTTCTGTTATGTTGTAGGAGTTCAGCAACTACACGCTGCCACTTGCAGTGGCCATTGTTTTGTCTGGTCAGTACGAGGATGATTTGGATAATTGTGAAGATATTGTGTATACTGGTCAAGGTGGGAATAATTTACTTGGCGACAAGCGTCAAATGCGAGATCAAGTAATGGTGCAAGGTAATTTGGGACTGAAGGTGTGTATCCTTGAATTCTCATTATTTCTTCTGGATGATGATCCTCTTGTTTCTTATCATGTTGGGTCTCTGTCTGTTATGGTGCGGGCATAAATTTTAGTGATTAATAAATTTATATTATGTAAATAAGCAAGAAGTCCTAGGAGAATAAAAAGGAACGGGACCATTATTTAAAGAAACTTGGTGATGGAATGAACAAGGCCAAAAAGTCGTAAAAACAAAAGGGGATGCTATAAAGTTTGGCAAAAAACTAAAAATAGTGAAACCTTTGACAAATATAAAAAAAGTACATAAAGAAGTTAAGAAAGTAGTGGTGAGTGAAAACATAGAGCATATGACGATTTTTATTCTAAACTAGGCACAAAATATGGGAGAAGAATATATATAAACTTGCTTAGCTAAGGGAGAGGAAAATTAGAGATTTTAGCCACATTAAATTTATTAAGACTGGAGATTCACGGGTTTTGGTAAAAGGTGAAATTAGAGAAAGATTGAGAAGTTATTTTGAAAAATTGCTAAATGAAAACCATATAGGATGTCTAAGGTTAGAAGAATATGTTAGAGATAACATATTTTTCAGTGTCAAGGATTGGGAGGTTAGGAATGCCTTAAAGAAGATGAAATTAGGGAGGGCTTTAGGACCCGATGGCATTTCTATTGAGGTGTGGAAGTGTCTAGGAGAAGTTATCTTGTCTTGGTTAACAAAATGACGGGGACGTACAAAAGTTGTAATAATTACTGTGGAATTAAATTAATGAGTCATATTATGAAACTTTGGGAGAGAGTGCTTGAACAATGCCTAAGACGAGAGATGGAAGTGTCGGAGAATCAATTTGGATTCATGTCGGGTAGGTCAACGATGGACTCTATTTACTTATTCGGGAGACTAATGGAAGAAAGAGATCTCCATATGATTTTTATTTTTGATTTGGAGAAGCCTATGAAGGGTACCTAGAGACCTAATATGGAGGGTTTTAGAAAATAAAGGAGTCACAAAGGGATACATTGACAATAAAGGGCTTTTATGATGGTTGTGTAACTATAGTTAGAATGCTTGTAGGGGAAACAAGTGAATTCCCAATTATTGTGGGCTTACACCAAGTGTCAGTATCAAGTCCATACCTTTTTGCCTTGGTTATGGATGAGCTGACAAGACAAATCGAAGATGAGATTCCGTGGTGTATGTTATTTGTCAATGATATTGTTTTAGTTGATGAGATGAGTGAAGGAGTTATTGCCAAATCGGAGGTTTGGAGAGAAGTTGTAGAACTAAAAGGGTTTAAGATAAATCAAAATAAAAAATACATGGAGTGTAACTTTAGTAAATTTAGAAAGACAAATGATGATGTAGTGAGGATTGAGAATCAAGCTATGTAACCCAGACTCGGGTACGGGTGTCTGACATGGGTGTGTGTCTAGAGGTTGGATCCATCTATCTATCAAATTATTGGACACGGGGACACGAATTAAAGTGTCCAAAAACCAGATACGGGTACTTGGTCACGGCAATGTTTAAAATATTGAAAAATAAAAAATATTATCAGCCACATTATATCAGTCTGACCACTAGTCTATAAGGTTAGTAACAGAAAATTTAAACTGAGAAAGAGTTGCATAGAACTGTTTGTTTGGTCAGCTGATATAAGCTTGTTTTAACCCAATCACTTTGGACCTTTTCTTTTCTTCCCAATATAAACCCAGTATGAATATTGCTTTATCCGTTTTCTGTTGATTGTATTATCCTCATTTTGATGAATTTAGTCGTCTATTATATACATATATATATATATATATATATTCATTATATTTGCATTGTATACTTAAAAAAACAGATACCCATTTAATTTAAATGAATTAAATAGGTTATTAAACATGTAGAGTCATGGTACCTGTTTGTGTTCGGATTAACTTATATAATAGATTACAATTAGGTTGTCATGACAAGAATATGACCCGCCTACACAAATAATCACCCTAATTGTGTATGGAAATGCTGATTTTGTTGTGGCATGTTGTATTCAAAAGATTTTAATTGTAAATTTTGCTTATTCTATATCGAAATGCAGAATTGTATAGAGCAAGGTGTGCCTGTTAGAGTTGTTCGTGGCCATAAATCTGCTACTAGTTACGTTGGCAAAGTTTATACATATGATGGTTTGTACAAGGTAACGATCTGAACATACTCCTTATGGCTTTTTCCTGCTTTTGTGTTAATTTTTCTGCTTTTTCTAACTGTATAAAAACCTTATGTAGATCTTGGATCTTTTTGCTTACTCGTACATTCCTTAGCTAATTGTCTGATTAATTATATAGGTTATATTATTATCTCCCTAGCATAAGAGGCGATGAGTTTAAGTACCACCTTGTCAGGTGGGAGCAAGCTTGCAAACCTATGAAGTTAGGGGGTCTTGGTATTAGAAGATTGGTTCCTTTTAATCAAGCTCTATTGGGCAAATGGTTGTGGAGATTTGGAAGAGAAGGACATCGTCCTTGGCGAAGGTTAGTATCCTATCGGTTTGGGGATGAGATTGGTGGCCGGTCTACTAGACCGGTTACCCTTGTGGGAGGAGTTGGTATGTGGAAATCCATTCGGAAGGGCTGGGATGTCTTCTCTTCTCATATCAGATTCAAAGCCCGTGATGGTAGATGTGTTCGTTTTTGGGAAGATCATTGGTGTGGTGATCAACCATTATCTCGTACTTTTCCTAGACTATTTAGTATTGCAGTTGATAGGCATGCTTACGTAGCTGATTGTTATTGACTTGATAGCAGTGGGATTACGTGGAATGTGCACTTTCGACGTTCCTTTTAGGATTGGGAGTTGAATGAGGTTTGTGTCTTCCTGGATCAGTTGTATCGACAGGAACGAGTAGGCAGAGGAAGTGACGATCTGATATGGATCCCCTCTTCCCATGGTGGCTTTGAAGTGCGATCTTTATTCCTTTGCTTATCTAATTTTGATCGCCTTGATTTTCTGTGGAAGACCATTTGGTGCTCTATGGCTCCAACTCGGGTGGCATTTTTTGTATGGACCGTTGTTTCGGGTAAGATTTTGACGATTAATAATTTGAGGAAAAGGGGAAATTGTCTTGTCAATTGGTGCTGCCTATGCAAGTCAGATGGTGAGTCAATTGATCACATCCTCATGCATTGTCCTGTGGCGCATGACTGTTGGTCTCTCATTTTTGGGTTGTTTGGCATGTGTTGGGTAATGCCATCTTCTTCTAAGGAGTTGATTCATGCATGGAGAGGACGTCGTGTGCTGAGAGATGTATGTGATTACTGGAGAGTCGTTCCACATTGCGTGTGGTGGTGCATCTGGAAGGAGAGAAACAACAGAATGTTTGAAGGAAAGGAGTCATCTACGGCGACGTTGAAACTATTTATTATTCGCTGTCTTTTTAATTATGTCAAGAGGAGTTCTTGCTCCTCTTCCGATGATTTAACTACTTTCTTGGATTCTTTTGAGGCTTTAGTTTCGTTTTCAATCTTGTAATTGGGATTCGTTCCCCTTTTGAACGCCTTTTTATTTAACTTTTACTTATCAAAAAAAAAAGAAGAAGTACAAATTGGTTATCAGATACCATAAATTTCGTCCTTAATGTTTGTTCTATCACCCTTTCTCATAATTTCATTGTATGACTCGTTATTTTAGTTAATTTAATTTTTCTATAATTGCTACAATTTTGTGTATCCCTTTTATTTTTGTAAATTGTTATTAATGTGCTTTTTCTTCACTCATTGGGTATCATGACTATTCAAATTTCTCTGAAAATCCCCCACAAACTATTTTTGTGCCAACTTGTCCCTTCATCTTTCAAAAAGCTGCGAAACTACTCCCTCTAGCTGATGGAGATGCAGTTCCGACATTAATTGGGTGATGTGATATGCACGTGACTTTGTAAACCTTTTTAAATGACTAAAATAAACTTTTATTACCTAAAATACCCCTGGGCTGATCTCCATTCATCTACTTTTTCTCTCTATGCACATCCCACGACCATGGTAATTGGTTTGGTTTGGAGGGTGATATGTAGACTTCAATTGTGGTTGGTGGCGAAGCTGATGGTGGCTTGAGCCCACACGTTGGAGGTTCAAGCCCAACAGGTCAAGCCCAAGGCCACAACTACGACCAACAACAAGACCTCTCTAATCTACTGGCGGAACCTGGACAACCCAAAGAAATCGGATATCCAGTACTACCAAAATAACGTTAAGGGGTGTGGTCCCATGGTGCTCGACGCTCTGATCAAGAACAAGACTGATTCGACGGTCACCATCCTTTGATCATGCCGCGAAGGGATCTGCGGGACTTATGCAATGAACATTGACAGCTGTAATGGTTGGGCTTTCCCCACGAAGATTGTGTCGGGAAAGTTGATGATGGTGATGCCGATGCCGATGCCAATGCCGATGCCGCACATGTTTGTGATCAAAGATCTGGTGGTGGACAAGATGGATTTCTACAATTAGTACGAGAGTATTGAGATGTGGTTGAAGAGGAAGAACTCACCGTCTTCCTCTTCAACACGGTGCAATCGTCCTCGTATTAAGTTCAGGTCATTTTTGTCTTTTCAAAGTATTTATCTATTTTCTAATTAAGGGATTGTAATGATAATTTTATAAACACACACTAAAAACTAGTGAAACTGGGCATTATTTGGAGGGAATTAGTTTGACAGCTTTTTAAGTGTGTCTTCCACTTTCTTATTATTGATCTTATTATCATTCATATGTTAAATTTAATTCCATCTACTTCCAGAGAGATGATTAGCATATCTGGGCATATACAGGTGTGCATTTATATATTTCAAGAGGGAGGGGGTTGTCAAAACTCAAAATCATAAGATGTCCCTAAAGGAACATAGACACCTGGTTCAAATAGTAGAGGGAATAGAAGAAGGGGGCGATTTCTTGAAATTCTGAGTGGCCACTACTATGAGTGAAACTCTATATTTTCATTTTATACATGAAATAAATACTATTAGATTGTTAAAGATCGAAAGGTGTTTAGGCTGTATAATGCTTTTACGTAGTAGAGTGTATTATATAGATATATTTATGCATCAGATAAGATATTTATCAAAAGGATCTAACTGAATTAATGTTATATTACTTATTGGAACTCTATATTTTCATTTTATACGTGAAATAAATACTATTAGATTGTTAAAGATCGAAAGGTGTTTAGGCTGCATAATGCTTTTACGTAGTAGAGTGTATTATATAGATATATTTACGCATCAGATAAGATTTTTATCAAAAGGATCTAACTGAATTAATGTTATATTACTTATTGGAACTGTTGTTTTGATCTTAGTTTGATTTCTGATCAAAGCTCTATTACCTGATCAATTTCTATTCTGATCGAAATTCAATCTCTGACAGACTTACTTTCATCCATTGTCGAGCCACTTAATCTTTTTGAACCTTTGTTCAGGATAGTTAAGCTCACGTGGAGATCTGCATGTAGGGGGTTTACTATTCTTTTATAATTTATTTTTGAATAGTTTGAAACTATCTCTGGACGTTTTATTTATTTATTTATTTTTTAATTTTATATATTTTTTATTTTTGGTGCATGCCAGTCCTGTTATTATATAATTTCCTTTTGACATTTAGTAATGTACTATTTGTCATGCATTCGCAGAATTACAGGGATTTTGTTGCATTAATTTTGCAGGTTTCTAATTTTTGGGCAGAGAAAGGCGTTTCAGGATTCACTGTTTTTAAGTTTCGACTGCAGCGGCTTGAGGGGCAGCCTCTATTGACCACTGATCAGGTTATATATATTTTCTTGCAAGCACTTGAAGGCTCATATTTTCTTTTATAATTTCGGCACAGGATTTTGCTGGTGGCCTAATAAGTATTTTCTATGTAAATGCAACTTTGCTTGTAATATCCAAATACTGAAAGTTGAAAATTAGGTCATTGTTATTTGTTATTCATTGGTTAGTAGCCAATACACTAAAATTAATATATATTTGCGACACATGAACTTATGGACAGCTGATATATCTTTTTGAAGGACGAATAATCACTTCAAAAAATTAGTCACTACGAACCATATGCTTAACATATTTCGCTTGTTTCTCCCTGCCTTTACTAATGAGGTTTCCGCCTTTCACAAACCCACTCAGTAAGATAGATTAATTTCTGTTCGAGGACCTATTTCTTTCTTGCTCCTAGATTGTACCATTCTCCACAAGTCATTTTTCTTTCTTTACGTTCACAACCACTTTTCCCTCATAGGATGATAAATGATTTAAGATTCATATTGGCGTAACCTCCGTTGTTGATAGGAGGGTACTCTGGGCCACAACTCACGGGACGATTATATAAACTCATCACATAAACAACATATGTTTAAGCTTAATTATAGTTTATATTAGACAGCTCCCTTAGATTTAGGCTTGATATTAGCTTGTGTATTTGCATATATTCTGCCACATATGTTTAGGCTTAATTATAGGCTTAGCTTATATTTAGCCTTATATTTAGGCTTGCCTTTTATGTAACACACATAAAAGTACCCCTTTTGGGATGAATACAATTGTGTTGAATTTTCCCAATTCTACTCTCATAGATACATACATCAAAATACCTTTATATTGTTATTGTCCTTGTATAATTATAAAGCTTACACTGTCCACCTTTCAACCATAGCTTTGATGCCTTTTAAACCTAATCTTTTTGTCACACGTTCAAAAATCCCTTTCCTTGTGGCTGGTCTAGTGAGTGTATTTCATTAGTGTTTTTTTTTTTTCCTTCATTTGGCAGGTTCAATTTACCCGAGGACGTATTCCAAACTCCGTTTCAGAAATACGTGGGTAATAGAACAACTGTTCCAGTTAGCATATTATCACGTCTTAGTTTCTTTTATTTCTAAGTGTGACCTAATTATTCTGTTTTAATGAATAAGGTTGGTATGTGAGGACATCACTGGGGGCCAAGAGGATATTCCCATCCCGGCTACCAATTTGGTTGATGATCCACCTATTGCACCCACAGGCAAGTTCAGTTAGCTGATTTAATTGTTTTAAAATGTATTGTTGGAGAAAGTTAATGTTAGCTAACTTCCATTTTTGTTGTCTTTGCCTGACTTGTCATAGTCACATTATAGGTTTGAGCTATATATATATATATATATATTAGCTATAGGTTTCCGTCTTTTGTTGGAAAAACTATGCAGTTCTCCATCTCCCTCTCTTAAAAATCCCAATCAAACTTGTTTAAACTTGAAGACACCCCATTTTGCCCCATAATTTTCAAATGTTCAACAAAAAATTCAATCTTGGGACAGTATTGACTGTTGCACAATTAATTGATACATGTCTAATTGACCATTTTGCTCTTGCTCATACTAGGGTTTGAACGACCACATCATTCGAATTTGTGCCGAAGCACACCTTTGGGACAAGTTTAAACCAGGATCAAAATTGAAAAAAAATAATTAACAATAATAATAAAAAAGAAAAACAAAATAAATGCACAACTCTGCCTCGTGAGAGCTGGAGGTGAAAAGCTCGATCACAATAAACATGGGATACGTGCTAGAATTATTTTTTTTTGCCATCACAAATATGTTGGCAGTCAGAGGAACTCTATTCAGTTCCGCGAAAGCATAAGCGGAGGTGAACAAAAGCGTGACTTCTGCCATTAAGGTTACAATTTGTGCTATGTGGAATTCATGGATCTTGCGATTCAGTTGCAAATCCTTTCACAGATAGAAAAGAGGAGCTGTTTAATTAAACACCTTGATTGCATCTTTGGTGGAGGCATTCAAAGTATTAACTCAGCATGCCCTTATGTCCTTAATTATTTAGAATTCCCATTTACTCTTTTATTACTTGGTTAAAATAAAAAGACATGTCACTTCTCTCTCTATGAATACTCCTTGCCATTCCCATATGCATCATTCACCTTAAATTCTACAAGGGAGCTGCCCTCACCAGAAGAATGAAGAGAAGAAAAGAAGCAAAGAAGGGGAAGAAAGTGAAAATTCTCTCTCCTGTTTAAGTTTTTATTTTATAACATTTATTGTTTTTTTTTTTTTTTTTCTATGTATATTATATTTATGGTCTTTTAATTTTTTTTTTTTTTTCATAATTGGTGGTGTTGTGTAAATGAAAAAAAAAAAAAAAAAAATCGAAAGCTTTTGTCTTTCGAATTTAATTACTTCATAACACGTAAGTTTTTTTCGCTTCTTTGTCGCTTATCTTATACGTAAACAACTCTTCCTCTTTTAACAAGTGCTTCATCTGGTTTATGTAATATACCGCCATATCATCTAAGTCTTCTTTCCCTAATTTTTATCATTTAATGGTGGTACGACAAACACAGCGAACCGAAGCAACAATCACGAAACACGACAAAAAAGTAAACACACCGCACACAAAGATTTATACGTGGTTCGGCAAAGCCAACATCCACGGTGGAGATTCAGTGAAAGTCTTCACTATGTGTAAAATTGGAAATTACATGTTTCAGCCCCTCTCTCTGGTAGAGAACAGTGGCAGCAAGTAGAGGACAGTGGCAGCAGCGTTTTAAAATGTATAAACTATGTGGTAAAGAGGATTCCAGAGCTCAATCCTTGATTTGGCACATGTTCGGTGAAGTCGGGTCCACCTACAGTCTTGCATAATTGGGGGGATTGGGTCAAATTGCATAATTTTGGTAAATTGCATCAATTATGGTGAAATTACGTTATTGTGGTAAATTGCATCCATTAGATCAAATTGCATCAATTAAGTTATTTGTTACTTTTATTTTGCTAGAGTCAACTTTTGATTACCTCAATTGCAGGGTAATCCAAGGGTCATTATTTTTTAAAGAAAGGATACTATGTAACTTTGATAATATCTTTTGAGATTTCTTTGCGAGTGATTCACAAATTCTGAGGTTGTGATGCCTAGACCCTATTGGTGTGATTCCAATAGGTTTTTTTAATTTATTTTTATTTTTTTATTTTAAAATCCTTTCTTTCTACAAACACCTCTTGAACCCCAATCCTGTTCATTTGAACTTTCAGCCATTACACTTATTTATTTCAACTATTCGAGGCTGCTCTTTTGTCCTACATCAGTTTTTGGTATCGGAGCCTAAGTAGACATTATGTTTACACAATCCGGAAACAAAAGATTGGATAATCATCAAGAGATTGAGTTGCTGTCACAGATTTTGGAACAACATAAAGTGCTGAATACTCGATGCAGTGAGATAGTAGCTTGAATTTCGCGGCCTTTAAACAAATCAGTAGCCCTTGAACAAGAAAGTGCATTTAGTACTAACGATGGCAAAAAGTGGCAGCAGCAACAACCTTTAAACCCTCAACAATGGTCTAGTTTGAAGGCTGATCCACCACTACATCCCATGTTGGAGTTTTCAAGAAATACTTTAGAGGCGAATCATCATGAGCCACATGATGCAGTTGGAGATATTCCAAAGAAGTCAAGTGATGGAACGTGCAGCACACCGACAACAACAATGCTGCCAAATGGTGGATCAAATGCATCTTTCTATAACATGGCTCATTCTGAAGGAAAGAGTACGATGGTTAGCAACAATCGTGAGAAACTGCTCGATGATGAGACTTGCAACACTGATCATCTGAAGGAAGTTGGAGAGAATGTTTCCTCCATCTCCGTTGTGATTTACATCCTTGAAGACCCTAAAGTTGGTGGCAAAGATGGGCAGCAGACATCTAATTTTCAAATGCAAGTTCGTCGTGGAAATGGCGGAAGTTGCATGAGTGTTTTGTCCGTAGCCACAGTGGAGTGCCTCAAGCCTTCGATCCAACCACGTCCACAACCATTCAAAGTGGCTTGGATAGATATTACTTCTATTCCGAATCTGCCAAAAGATGCGGCTATTGGAGTAGATACTTAGTGTATATTAGTGGGCACTGCAAAGAAATGGGAGCATGCTTGTGCCCAGAAGCAACAAAAGCTGTTCAAACATCCACCAACTTGATAGATGAGGTCTGGAAATACCAACTGCCAGAAGAAGCTAATCCTGCAAGTGATAAGCTAGAGTGGTCTCACGCATCAAAAGAGCATTTTAGAGGGTTAAGTTTTTCTACTATTTCCTTAGTTGGTCCCAATGCAGCAATTATGCATTATAAACTAGAGGAGAAAACATGTTTAGGACTTGATCCAAACAACATTTGTCTATTCGATTCGGGAGTACAGTACCAAGATGGAACCAACTGGGTTGCTCTATATGTTCTTGCTCAAATACATTCGTGGAAGGATAGCCTTGATTTTCGAATTGGTACTGGCCATGGAGTTGGTGTCAGAGGTGATGGGTCAGATGCTGACTTTGTTCTAGGCAATCTTTAACTTAACAATGAAACCATTACACAGTCCCCAACAAGGGTGCCAAAAATCGATGTGTGCTTTCAATGATAGACCACTTGCAATAGAACGTATCCTTATAGGATGGGGCTATTTTGAGGGTGTCGAACCTCAAGGCCATGTTGGTATTGTTATGTGTAAAATTAATCCTAATTTGATTCAAGAGGAAGATTGATTGGTATTTTTCTACTTCTAAATTGCAAAGAAATTAAAGAAAACTGAAATTAAACTAAATTACGGAAGAATAGATATCAAGAGAGATGGGAACTTAGTGGATTGACTTCACCACTAGCCTCATAACATGGTCAATTGTCTCAACTATTGGGAATTCATACCTATGCATATTCAGGAATCAAGTGGCTACAAACACACTTCAATTCAATTAAGAACGTATATGTGAATAAACACCAAGCCATTACTTATCTTCGGTTGGCAGGAATTGTCTACCTAACTACTCTAATCTACCCTGCAATACAACTCCTCTTCCCTTGGCATGAATTGTCAAAAATTCATTCATATATTCGTTAAGCACCATTGCATGATCACTACTCCTATAATCACATAAAATAAGAGAAGTTTGAATTCAATAATAATAAAATCAATTATAAGATGAGATTAATTTCACTAAAACTGATTATTGTGATACCCCCAATTTACAAGCACGGGTTAATCAGGTCCATACCCAAAAATCGGGAAATATCAAAACATTTAGGGACTAGTCAAGCACATAATAAAAAAAGGATAAATACGAAATAAATAATAAACTGAAAAGACATCTAATAAATGAATAATCATCCATCCATGGATGATTAATAAATCTCCAAACTTTAAAAATACAACTCGAGAATCCAGTAAATCAAAGACCCCTAATAAATCCCAAACTCCATTACTGAGAATTAAATAATCCCAAACTCTAAAGAATAAATAAATAAATCAATGTCCTACTCTGAAATGACTAGAAGAGTGATGAAGGATGTCTCTACTCTGCTACAAACTCCACTCTATGGCTGGAGCTGACAAGGACCTGAAAAGTATAAACAAAAGGTAGGTTAAACCCACAAGCAAGTCTTCTTTACTATGACCCAATCAGAGAACCGATAAACAATTCATCTCTAACCAAAATCGTTCCAATAACCACTATCCATAAATATAGAATAACTGACAAATATAATATACTAAACAACTAGATGTATAATATATATATATATATATATATATATATATATATATATATATATGCATATAAGCAACTCATCCATGCCTCGGGAGTAAACCTCCAAAAAAATATATATAGGCAACTAAACCATGCCATAAAATTAACCACATATCTAGACAACTCAACCATCCCAATAACTAATATCCTTAAATATAGAATAATTGACAAATATAATATAATAAACAACTAGATTTATAATATATACATATATAAATGTAGGTAGGGGTGTTCAAAAAATCCGGTAAACCGAAAAACCGGACCGAACTGAACTGGACGGTTTGGGGTAGTTGTATAGCGATTTGGTTCGGTCTTGGGCCCAAAATTATAAAACCGTAATTTTACGGTCCGGTCCTGGCTTGGGGTTTGTTGGACCGGCCCGGCCCGGACCGAACCGTTTTATATATATATATATATATAAATGATATAAATCATATAACTTA